TCTAAACAGGTCGAAAACAAAATAAAATGAAAGAAAAAACTTTTAAGATACGAGTCGGTGGGAACTTTGGGAGAGGAAGACAAACATTTTAGGGAAATATCTTCAGTTCAAAATGAAGAAATGACACAGGTATTATTTTTTTATCTCGCTTTAACGATGCACAGGAAGTTATTAAAATCTCAGTTATATAAATATGCTAATAATACAAATATGTGTCAATTGAGGAAATAGGGAAAGGCATAACTCGACCTATTTTCTTATCATGATATATATATATATATATATAAGTTTATGGAGAAATTATTTCTTCCAACACAAATAATACATTTATATTTATAAACTTTGTAGGTAATTTTCACATTATGTTCTATTTTCATTTTTAATTTATTTAGTAGTTAAAGTTATCTATACTATATATGTGTACTCTAACTCTGTCTGTCTCTGTTGTTGTGTGTTTATGTTTTGGTAAATTATCTTTAAGAGAAATGCATGAAACATCTAAATAAAACAGGCGTTCTTTTGATTTATTTACATATATTCCTGTTTATGTAACTTGAATGTAATTAATTATTATAATATTCTGAGTGCGTGCTTGTTACACAAGTGTATTTTTACGTTTTGATAAGCAGAGTGATTTGTTTGTGTAGGATTGTATAACAGTGGAGTGGAAGAATTAGTCGATTTTATCAAATATTTATTTCACTGTAATAACGCAAGGTTTCTAAACCACTCTATTTAGACATACTTAGTGTAAACCCAGTGTAATGATTATTGAAAAACAAAACCGAATGCTCCTCGGTGGCTCAGCGATAAGTATGAAGACTTATAACGCTAGAAACCGGGTTTCGATACCTGTAGTGCGCACAGCACAGATAACCCATTGTCTAGCTTAGTGTTTAACATCATACAAAAAACTGAGCAGCTACAGTAAATACGAATTATTAGAACCTTTCATGACTGCGTCATTTGAAGTATGATAGACCCAAGTCAGCAAAACATTTTAATTTTACTGGATGGCTGGCATAATAATCAGCTTAACTGTCTTATTATTTAAACTTTCAGGAAATAATAAACACTTTTGAATTAAACTTGCCACATTGGTACTTCACGTTTTGATTAAATGACGACCAATTTGATCTAGTTTCGAAATTCACTGCTTGTTGCTCGTGTTGTTACACGTTATCACGAACAGACTATGCATGTTCCTTTCGTGGCTCAACGACAGAGACTATGAACAAAGAATGAACAATATAAAGAACTGTTCTTTTTCTTCAATATGGAGCTGGAGTCAGTTTTTTTTATTATTTTATTTGAAATTAAGCACAAAGCTACACAATGGGCTATCGGTGCTTTACCCACCATGGGTATCGAAACCAGGTTTCTAGCGCTGTAAGTCCGCAGACATGCCGCTGTGCCACTGTAGGGCGCTGGAGTCAGACACGTGGTGAAACAAATAATTTGTTATGCGATCTAGAACGTTCTTTAAATTCATTAAAAGAGGTTTCATGTATCACCAGTTCATGTAGAAACTTCTTCAGTAGTATATTTTTCTTCTCTGCTACGCCTTTGTATTTAAATGTACGTGTCCAAAAATATCCGTATGTTAAAATAAATAAATAATATAATAAGCAATGTAAGCAAATTATTTAAATTTCGATCAGTAGACGGATACGAAGGAAATTGCCTTTATATTTATGTGTATATCAATGCCTTTATAGCATTTGATATACTAATTGATATTAGTATATCAATGCCTTTATAGCAATATGTGAATGCAAGGAACATTTGTTCTTACTGAATATAATTATAAAGACATATGTTAATTGGAACCTTTATATACAAACATAAACTGTTTGTACAGGACTTGACATCACCAACAGCTATTCGAAGTTCACGAAATGTAAGAACGTCAGCGTCACGATAAAGTGTGTGTGAAAAATCTCCATCCGTGTAGAGGGATATATGTCTTATATGTCTTACCTTTCATATTTAGTCACGAATGACGGAGTTAGTTCAAAACGTGTTACATTCATGATATCACATAATTTACTAAATATTTGACAAAGGCGTTTCTGGGTTTTACAATTGAACACTTTTTCTTGTGTTCTTATAGTCTAAAGTAGTAGAAAATGAAGTTAGAGGGAAAGTGCTTGCATCTGTGATAAAAAAGTTTTAAGTATTCACCCATGTTTTTAATCCTAAAATGATCAGAATAGAGGTGTCGGTTTTATAGAATGAAGTATATATTAGTAATAGCCTTAAAAACCCATCAATATTAAAGTTTTAAAAGAGAGATGATTGTTTTCGTAGAATGTAAAATACTTCTGTAATGATCTTTATTTTTAAATTTATGTTTCTTCTGTGTATTTGAAACACTTCGATGAACTCTTTAGTTTACGAGAGTCTTGGTATAATTATCAACTTCCTGTGAATTTTTAGACTTTTGTTCTGAAATCCACTTTATATCCTCATTAACATGATACCTGGTATTGGACGAAAAGACCCTTCGTCACTGGATATAAGAGTTGTAGTGGGATTGAGATATTATCGCATACCCTTCTTTCTTTTTCTCATACGTTCTTAGAATTACCTCTGAATTCATCCATTAACCCCAAATACCACTCTCGTAGGTCCTTCAATCTGTTATTATTAATGCTGCAAAATCTTGGAAATTATTAAACACACAAACACATTCCGTCTATCTACTTAGATCTGCAGTTCCCAAGTGGGTCAGCGGTAAATTTACGGACTTACTAAAATCCTATGTTCGATTCTCCGTGGTGGATAGAGCGCATACGGCCTATTGTGTAGCTTTGTGCTAAAACAAACCATATTTGTACGTAAGTCTTAAAAAAAGAACTCAACTCAATCATGTTGATTTGGTTACATGTTTTTACTTTCAATAATAGTATATACTCTTAATAATCTCAGAAGAAAAATTAATCTTTCGAGGGCAGAACAGGAATAACAGTTCAGGATTTTGATTATGTCGAGCGAACGTTTCTTGATTACCAGTATTTTTTATTTTTATTTTTTGTAAGCAATAATATTAATATTTAATAACTGGTTTGTTCTACACGTTAAGGCGTTACTTCCGCAGTCAACTGTAATTCTTTAATGGTAATCAATGTGTAATGGCAGTCTGATCGACATTATATATATATAATGATCCACACACATTTTAATTTCGAAAAAATACTTTAGGACTTTATTAGATTTCGTTCGTGTGTATATAAATCTGTTACATATCCGCATACATCGTGGATAACACAGTGTATTAAAGGCGTAGAAATATTGAACGTTTGAGTTATCCATACACTGAGCACGGAATAACGAAAGAGCAACACGCTGTACGTGATGACAATATTGTGAACAACACAAATGTTGCTTGTTATAGTATTAGAAACAAGGGAAGTGAAAAAAGGGTGGGAAATTGTGTATTATGTGTGCACGTATACGTATGTTTCCTGTTTATGCATGGCCTAATGAATGGACGATAAATAGATGTTGAGTTTTATACAGGCAAGGGAGGATACCAAGTTCTTAACTGAATTTGTTCGTAAATAACCTTTTGGCCGCTCCCAGTGACCTTAAACAATAGGGCGTTTATTTTGTACACGTAAAAGATTGATTTTAGTCAGGTATGTTCGTATTGTAACTTCAGCTGTTTTATATATGTGTGTGTGTGTGTGTATCGTAAGTACAGAGAATACACAGGTACAAATATGAGGGTAGGCGTGGGTATGTTTATGTTGTGTTAAGTCGAAAAGAAAATTACGAAGCTTTACATGTTTTTAGTTCTTACACGTGTGTATGTGATATCCTTGCCCATTTTCATTCTGATTTGCTCTTGTGGTGAAATATAGATATAATATATATATATAGATAGAAAGTTACACTTTTTTACTTTGAAATATATATATACTATATATACATTTCACAAAATCGAAACTAATATTGCGACTGAGCAGCTGTTGTGTGTAAAGCTTTGTAATTAGCATTGATTTAGATTTTCGGACTAAATAGGTATTTGTATGGCTAATACTGATTGGTTTCTTGTGTTTTAGATTTTCGGACTAAATAGGTATTTGTACGGCTAATACTGATTGGTTTATTCCTTTGTTGTCTTCCGATAGTGCAGATAAGTGTGTATATTTTATTACTGTATACTTTATGTTAAATGGTATTTGTATAGCTAGTATTTATTTATTTATTTCATTTCTGTACATTTGGAAGTAAATACGAATTTACATAACTAGTAGCGATAAGTGTGTATATTTATATTGAGAACTAGAGACACTTTCTTTGAAAGTAAAATACAAAGTATTAGTTGGTATTTTTCAACTTTTAATGATCACAATTTTATCGTTAGTTTCTTACCACAGTAAAAAAAAAAAAGAAAAAGAAAGAAAGGGGAAGCTTAGAACTTTGTCTATTTCTTTCATATGTCAGTTTTTGAAAAATAGTGAATCATACCTACAGTGTAAAGCAACAAACAACTTTTATATTCCTGTGCATTAATTCTTTTTTTTTTAAGTATCGGCTCCAAAACACGATTCCTAAATGTGTTTAAATAGTATACTTATAGATTATCTTTATTCATTCATATTTAGTACAAATTTATTTTTCTTTGTATGTTTGAAATTATTTTTCTTGCAGCAGTTATGCTACTTTTTATAGGATTAGTATATAACTCAGTAATCTTCCAGTATATAACCGTTATAGATATAATGACTAGTGATATTGTTTATTTTATGTAAATATCACGCCATAAAATTTCGGCTTAAGAAATAGCACGTGCTTGAATAACGTGACAAGCTATGGATCCAGTAAGTTTGTGGTATCTCGACATGCTATTTTCTGTAGAACACCATAAATAAATATTGGTAGGGTTTAATACAAAACAGTTATTCTGCCGTTGAACTTGTTGCAGGCTCGGGCATATGATGTAATTTGTATGTATATGGTGTTACTCGCTCTAATATTCCTATCATCTGCAGGTCTCTAGGGATTCCGTGTAAGCTGACTTCGAAAACCTAACCAACATAGCTTGTCGTGACGACTTATCGGAGTATTCTGCTATAAAGAGGTTAAAATAAGTCTTTCGAGGACAAGTACAACAATAACTAACTAATGATGAGGCAACCACTGGGCAGCCCCACCTGGTGGCCCTGAATGTCCCTAACCGCCACTGTCTAGCTCTTCGTTTTGTGCAGAGCTACTATGGACAGCAAGGAATCGCTGCAGAGGTATCTACACGCTCTGAACTTTACTATGAAGCCTGTTACGTTATCTGGCAACCTGTGCATAAGTGAACCCACTCAAGGTGGCGCTGTTGCTGGCCACGCTTCACCCCTGGCCCTGTCTCCTAACCTCCCCAATATTGTCAAGGTGGAACCCCGTCTCCCTAGTTCTTGTGTTGGTAATCCCCCAGATGCAGGAGGAGGTTCAATTTTTTACTCAGCCAAACGACTCCGACAGGACGATGGTACCTGGCTTCCTTCTCCCTCTCAGATGTCCATGGGATCATTGTCCCCTCCCCCATACTTGAACGTTCACTCTGTGACGACGAGTAATGGACTATCCCCCATATCAGTTAGTAGTGATGATGGCAACAGTTTGTCAGGTAAGTTGGAGATCTTTGTATTATTTTTTACAAACCAAAATCTATGTGATGACAAGTATGTATTTGTATGGCAGAGTAACAGGTGTCGTAGTTATATGGCAGAATTCCAAACCAAGGTTAATAAAACAAAAACGAACTCAGAGCCAATAACACATTAACAATTGCGAAATCCCAAAGATTTATCATCTAAATATTGATATTGTAGCGAATAAATACAAAATTATCACTCAACCAAATAAAATGCTTCCAAAGAATATATAATTATGAAATTGAATTCAAATTTTGTCTGTTTTTCAGATTTTTTTAATTTTTCAAATTGTTCCTTAAAGCTAGAGAAATAACGAATGCTGGATGTTCTCGAAAGTTTTTACATGATAATGGTAATTGTGTTACCGAAACTAGTCGACTGAAATTTTTAATAAAAGTTTTTATCTTTCATTGTGCTAAACGACGACGTTTATGTTTTTTACTCTTAATATAATAGCACAATGTGCCGGAAAAGAAATGACAGAAATATGTTTGTTTTACTGTGTCGCGCTGATGTAACACACAATAAGTAATAAAGCTGTCAAATTGTGAACGTAAGAAAATATAGATAAAGACATAAAAAGGCAGTAAGTTTTTCTTAGAGTGTTACTTAATTCAGACTTGTTAGTCTTAGAAAATGAATTGATTCGAACGTGTGTGCCTTAGAACATGAATGTATTCGAAATTCATCAGATTTTCAGTTTTAGTACACGAGAAAGAAATGGTTCATATAAAAACTTTTCTGCAGCTGTAACTGAACAGCTATTTTTATTGTGTTATATTTTAATAAAGAATATGAGACCAGGGGTGGATCCAGGAGTTTTGTTAGGATAATAGAGAGTTGTTCTCCTACATTGTCATGAAACCTTTTGAAAATATTTCGATTTCTTTATTATATCTAAGGCTACCCTTGTTTGGTAGTCCATCAGAAAGAGGGTTTTACAAACCCGTTTTGATCCACCCTGGAGATAATCGCCACAGCTTTTAGATACCTGTCTTAATGCAATACACAGGGCTACTCATATTTTATCAGAACAGTTTCGGCATACTTATGTAGTGCAGCAGATACGAACCGAAACATGAACCTATGTAATTTTGTTCAGCCAAATTTCCGACCATTGAACAATACCATGTCTCTACGTATAGACTTGTTGCTGGAGGAATATGTAACAGCTCATTTGATTGAAGGATTTTTATACAGCGAGATTGTTAAACGACCGAGAATCAAAGATCACATAATATCCAAGAATAAGTGATTCAGGTTTATTTATGAAAGTATAAACTCTCATAGCAAAACATTTAGGAAAGCAACGGGCTCCGAAACCACACCCCAAACCAACATGAAACAACATTTTCATGCAGGAAAAAAAAAGGGTGCCCTCGAGTCCAAAAAGCCATTGAGATGAATTATGGCATATCTCCTGATACCATGAAGAAGAATTTGAAGATAGTAAAGGTTCAAAAAGTTTCAGCCACGCCTTGATTTCGTCGGTTGTTTTTGTGAGGAAGATGATCGAATAAACTAGAATCACAACAATTCCATTCGACCAACATACCTGTAAGGTCTCCTGATGCAACTCCAATGGACTTTTGTACCTTTGATCTGTTTAAAACGTGATCTTAAAACCGACGTTCAGGTACAGTGGTGGTAAATATGTCTGGGACAAATTTGTCAAGATACGTGGTCTCAAATTTATCTCGCCACCTTTCGCAGAAGCTTGGTGCAATGGAAATTATGGTGCCGTGCAACAGTGTGTAATCATAACCATCAGAGTGAGCACGATCGATAAGGGAGGAAGTAGTTCCAAGGGCAACTCATGATTTGGAACATCGTGCTCATAAAATTTAGTTAGCCCTCATTGTAGGATATTGATCTTCATTCCGATAAATATAAAAGTGAAAACTAGGGTTTTTGGTTGATATTTGTCACTCGAAGCAAAACAGAGTAGATAGTAACGATTCCGCATAGCTGTCTCCTGACCGTTTTCTTTGCACATAAGCTAGTGTAGAAGCAAGCTTGCTGTGCGCATGCAGACATAGTTGTTCACCATGCATTATTTTTATTGGCTGGGTAGCAATCGTGACCTTATTTTTTTTCACCACTCTCGTGGAACCTTTTAATTGCCGACATTTTTCTGCTGTACGTGTAAAGTGCTTCTTAAGGCACTGATTTATTCTGTATAACCTGTAACTTTTACTTCTTCTAAGTGTTTACCAAATCTAAATAGTTTTTTGTAGTTATGTTTAGAGTACGAAAACATACTATAAAAAAGTGAAAGTTACGTTTATGATCGGAAGTTAATGTCAAAGATTTTGTGTGTTTGTTACTTTTTCGAATACAATTTTAGACAGCTTCATTTCGTCACTGAGGTTTAGTTGCAGGTTAATCTGTGAAAATGCGTCGTTTTAATGAGAAAGATATAAAGAAGGCAGCACAGATAACCTATTTTGTTTTTTTATTATTATTATTATTTATCTTAGTGTTAACCGCCTTATATGGTACTGTGTTACAAAGGAAATAAATAACCGAGAGACAAAGACGAATAAAACAATGCCAAGCTTAAATATATACAAAATGGATTTTGCCAAGGTTAAAGACATACAGACATGGATTCTGCACGACATGAATACAGCATTCTCATGCCTAACATCCTGTGGTTTAGATCTTTCATACTTGATAGCCAGGGTAAGCATCAAGAATAGCGAGAGGAAATAAGATGAACAGATCCCCCAAAGTTTTTTCATTCTTCTGTGTACACCAGTTTCTTATCCAACTTTAGGCATGTGAGATATGACGTTTATTCATGACAAGGGAAAAATCAAAAACAAACAAAAACTTGGTTGACGTTGCATCTTCTTTATGACGTGTCCTTCGATGGGTCAGTGGTAAATTTACGGAATTGCAACGCTAAAATTCGTGGTTCGATTTTCCCTGGTGGACAGAGTGCAGATAATCCATTGTTTAGTTGTTTTTTTTTTTGGTAAAACAACAACTTTTACAAGTAAATGTACTCATAATAGACTCAAATTTCAGAGTAAACAATGCTAAATAACCTCTTAACTGCATGGTGTCAAATAAGTTGTGTTGTTATGATGTAGTGTTTGAAAACAAGCTGTTCTTTTAAAGTGACTGAAATTCTTGTTTAACACGTGGGATACACAAACAAATGATTAGACCATCAAACATATGTACTCATGCTCCTGACAAAATATTTTTGTGTGTAAAATCACGTGTATAATTACTCAGACGATGCTCGATTATTTTGCTTGTGTTGTGTGTGTGGTGATATATTCCTTGCACAGCTAATATTACAATAGTAAGTTTTATAACTCAACGTGCATGTTTGAATAAGTAAAATTTATGGCTCAAGTCCTGGAGAAACATAGGTTTGATTTATTTCATTTTAGTTAATCATATATTATGTGATAAGCGAAGAAAAATTACCGACTTGTGGAAAACTCATTTTCGTTTTGAGTTATATCAGTTTTTTGTGTTATAATTCTTCAGTTAATATTATCTCTTTCCTGGTTTTAAAAAACATAAATCTATGTTGTACACTTTAGTAACATCCAACTCTAGTTTGTTTTTTATCATATTAATCCCAGTACTTTATACATCACATTACAAGTATTCTCACACATGCAAAACGAATCAAAGATTGTTTGGAAACGCCCACACTTTCACACGTTGGACTTTTACAGACGTTAGATACCTTAAGTTAAACATTCAGTGAGCCGTGATGTGGTTGTAAGACTTTAAGTTAAACATTCAGTGAGCCGTGATGTGGTTGTAAGACTTTAAGTTAAACATTCAGTGAGCCGTGATGTG